AGAGAGGGGTTAATACAGACACACTGACTGGACACTCCAGTACATGAACACTGCACTGAGAGAGAGAGGGGTTAATACAGACACACTGACTGGACGCTGCACTGAGAGAACAGGAAGATACTGTGTTACCTGAGTGACCTTTATTCTCCCCTTGTTCACTGACTCGCACAAACAGCTCAAATCTGGGTTAATGTCTCGTCCATCTGGATAGAGATATCTGCACCAACACAGCACAGAAAATTTGATCCATATATATATACTATTCAAAAAGAAAAGGCTCAATCATTTAATAATCAATGTGCTTCATGTCTATAATATTACAGTCATTATTCAGTAAAGACACAGCCCTCTTATAGTAACTGTGCTTCAGGCATATAATATTACAGTCAGAATTCAGTAAAGACACAGCCCTGTAATGGTCATTGTGTTTTATGTATAAACTTTTACAGTCAGTGTTTAGGAAAGGTACAATCCTTTGAAATAAAATGCATATAACAGCATACAGTACATATAACAGCATGCATGTTCAGTATACATGTTACAGACGTGTTGGGTGCACTCACACCCCCTCTCTGTAGCCCTGGACGAGTGCCTGGTACAGGGGAGTGTTGTGGGGTATGGTCTGTACAATAGAGCCATCTTCTGTCACATGACCGATCGCCCACTGGCCCATCCTGGTGCAGCTGAGTCGGTAGATGTAGCTGAGAGAGATACAGAAAGAATGACAGGACAGTAGACAGACACTGGTCAGGCTGAGGCATTATCACAGTGCTGTCAGACAGCAAACTTGCCGGTCAGTCAGTGGGCTGATGTGTTAGTGTATAGTGGACTGCTCAGTGTGTCAGTATGTCAGGTCAGTACCTCCCAGGGCGGTTGCTGTACTTCTCCAACCGGCTCTTGACCTGGTCATAAGTGAGGAAGGCCATGTACCCTGGATGAGTGACCGCCAAGTGATTCCAGTTTCTTAATAGAGTGGACCAGGGCTGGACAGAGAGAGAGGGGTT